TCAAGAGTCTGGACTCTAGATCCAATGTGTTTTTTTTCCACTGCAGTACGTCAGCACAGGCTTGTTGTCACACTTTATATTCCCAAAACATATTTTTCCACTTGTATGAAAGACAAAAGTATCCGAGCGCGAAAATTACTCGTTCAATTTGACTGATCGAGTGCACCATTTTGCGTTCGAATATTTCCAGTTTTTCCTCAGGGTTAACAATATGTGATTTCAAGGAAGGAATTGCGGATTGTGCTTCTAGATAGTTCCGTTCTCGGCCAAAAATGTGAGGTGAGATCAGTACATTAGCAAATGGATTTTTCGATGTTTCTGCTTCCGAAGTAACTCAAATTAACAAATACGTTGGTAACATGCATCAAAACATTGTTGAAATGAATCGAATAAAAAAAGCTCTTCAGTTGAAAAGAAGGGCAGAACTAATTACTTTTTCAAAGCAACTGGTGCGGGGGATAATCCCGAAACTTCGGAGCAAAATGGAACTGTGGCTCAAATGGATTATCGCCTTAAAGCACGTATCGAAACTTAACTAATAAGGGGATGAAGGAAACAATAAAAGGGAAACTTTGCGGGCAAAGTGGAGAACACCTGTTAAGAAATTAGCGTTATCTATGGAGAAAGTAGAACTACGTCCGACCTAATGGTCCTCCTCTTGAATGAAATTTAAGGCTCTCATTGCCAGAGGTGAGCGATATTTTGGATTTTTTTCATTCCGGTGTTTTCTGAACATGAGCTTGAGGGCTAAAAGCATTGCCAAGGACGTCGTCTGCGTATTAAAACAAGTAAAGAGGATACTACGTGTGGGGGAGGGGGGGGGGGGGAACGCCACAAGTCAACGTGATAAAAAAATTTAAAAAAATTTCCATTACTAACTCGCAGTGTTTTTTTATTTTTTTTTTTTTTTGCGAAGATTTTCTCGCATGAAAAAAAAGGGGGAAAATAATCACCACAGGTGAATAACGGAATTTTTTTAAATTTTTTTATCACAAGTAAGCACAGAAGAAAATAGATGGTTCTGTCGTCAGCGCCATCTATTTTTTTCTGTGAGAGGAATAGCGAAAACAAATACCGGTAAAAACGAAATTATCACGGGGATGTTAAGCGCTCAAGATAACTACGAAGGATACAAAAAAGTGCAAAATGACTTACCGATAAAAGAGGATATTTAAAAAACGATTGACTGACCTGGAACAAAAAAGAACGCAAAACATTAATGTTACAATAAAACGCATTTATACAACAAAATTAACTCGAAGCAAAATGTGGAAGTGAAGATAGGTAAACGGACAACATTTTGCAGTAAGGAACCATTATTTCTGGCTCATTTTAGAAGCAGCATATGTGCCATTAGTTTCCCCCTACAGAAAGGTGCTTTTATGGAGGAGTCAGAGATAGTGGTTCCTTAATGCAAAATGAAATCCAAATAATTTAGGACGTATCGGCATAAACCTGGGTTCAAAAATCCTTCTACTACACGGAGAAGAAAAATAACGCGCAAGTCCGGTTACTATAAAAGTATGAAACCTTTGGGTTTGACTTGTTTATTTTAGCCTAAGCCTTTTGGTTGATTTGCTGGGTTTCCCATCGTTTTCTGTACTCCATTCAACAAAACAGTGCCGACATTAACTAAGTATCTGGATTTGGTTTGAGTTTCTTTTCCTGGATTGACCAAAAATAACACAAGAACACAAATGGGTCTGTTGTAAACTTCAGCCATGCAAAGCAAAAAAAAGGAGTTCTTTCTTCTAGAAATGTACAAAAAATCACGATCACCGCATCGGGAATGTATCAAATGCACTCCTACCATCACCATCTGCGTGAGAAATATGCGTTTTTTAAGCTTCCTGCTTCTAAAACGACACTACGGCACAAGTGAACATTTCCTTAGAGGAGTCGTTTCATTCAACCCTTGCGCACTGGGATGCTACGCAAAATTCAACATGGCTGACGCATACCCGCGAAAACACGCGACGAGACGGGATTTCATCAACCGGCGTGTTTATATTTATATTTTCCTTGCGTTGATGAAGACTATGGTGCTTCTTCATACGATTCGCGGACAGAAGCGTCAGTCATGTTGAATATTGCGTAGCATCCTAATTGGACCGCGTTTAATGGAAAGGAACCAAGCCATGCCAAAGGGCAATTTAAATTCTTACGGGAAAACGCTTGTGCGGATCCCATTGAAAATGTTAGGGAATTTGCTTCGTACTATGGAGAAAATTCACTGAAATTTCCACGAAAATCCGCACAACTGTTTTCATGTAAAAAATAAATTAGCCAATTAAATGTGGCAATAGCTGATGTGGCTTGGTTCCTTCCTGTTTAACGCGGTCCAATTAGTGAGAGATGAATAGGACTCCTCATACGAAATGTCCACCTGAGCCGTGGTATCCTTATGGAAACTGGAAGATTAAAACACGCCTATTTCTTACGCAGAATGTGAAGTTAAAAGTGTATTTCAGACTTTCCCAATGTGTTCATCGTGATTTCCGAGGCATTGCCTATGAAAACGGACTATTCTCGTTGCAGCTGAAGTTTGCAACAGGCCCATTTCCTTCCCCGAGTGGGCAAATCTCGACGCGGGAAGGAAGTAATGCGCCTTGATCGCCTGGCTAGGCGCAAGGTGCATGAGTGGCGTCTGGCCGTCTGACGAGCTGTCGTTTGTTATAAATTAAAGGAGGCGTCTAGCGTACCCCGGTTACCATGGCGACGACCCACTGCAACAGCTTCCCTCCGCGACGGCTGGCTTCGCGATTCCTGGCGCAGTGAGCACGGTCAGGGTCGCCATCAACGTTGCCTAATGCTCAGGGGCAATATGTTTTCGAAATCCCGCACTGCTATTTTCCCTGGGATGCAAAAGTTGTTTTCGGAGGTCGACGCTCGAATCGCCTGATAGTGACTGATGACCAGAAAGTTGGCGATTGATTTAGCGATCTCTTAAAACGGAAATTGCAACAACTTGCCTAGCATAGTGCTCATCCCGACACGTATCATTAATCATAAGGTCTTGTATTTACGGAGCGTTTTATTGGTTCCGGGGTCGAATCGCCGAAACGAAACTTGGGCGATTTTTCGCAGTTACCGTCTCTACGGAACGCACAGTGGAGTCACGGTACACGGGAGTCTATAGGAGAGGTCGGACATGAAATTTGTGACTAAAACTGCAAATTTTGACGTTTAATTCGTCTAATTTTACATTTTAAGAGGTGCATGCAGAAGAAAATTTCCGGAGAAAACAGATGGAGCCTCTTTTAAAACCTCGAAGTTTTGTATAAACGAAATTATACGCCTTTAAAGTTACCAAATTTTGTCCGACCTCTCCTATTGACTCGATCCACTGTGGGACGAGACTCTTTCGTTCCTGCGACAAGTTTGCGAGAGAAGATAAATTCAGAATAAACAAATTATTTAAATTTATCCAACTACTGTTCGTGTTTGCTAAATTTAAATAATTTGTTTATTCTTTTATCTTCAATCGCAAACTTGTCGCAGGAGCGAAAGAGCACCGTCCCGTAGAAACGGTAACTGCGAAATATCCCCTAAGTTTCGTTTCGGCGATTCGACCCTGGTACTAATCACGAACATCTTAGTTGTTTACTCGGCGACTTAAAACGACCCTCTCTCATAACGCATCGCATCGCCCTGCACTATCGCATCACATTACAAACTACTTGACTGTGGACAGCACGGTAATGACTCCGAGGAGGAGCTTGGACTGATGATATTCGGAAAAGCGTCTATTTGACAATGCGGTGACCCATATACCCGAAACTCCGCCGGGATCAGCAAAACTTGAAACTTTAAAGTGCTCGTGAGAACCCGTTTGTGTACATTACACCCTGACGTTCGCATGAGACAAAGATGAAATTATATGAAAACTCACTTCTCCGGTGCCCAAGCAAGGCGCTCCGCTCGCCTAACGAGACAAGAGTCAGTGCCTGTTGCCAGCCTCGTGGCTTTCATACTAAAAAAACGCGTTGCCAAAGCAGATATTTCTGGCCGTTACAAATAAATGAAACACGATTTACGAGATGTCGGATTATAACTATTACAGAAGATTGATAAGGACAGATCGCTTCATGGAGGGCTCAGGGCCCAAAAGTGCAGCCACCCTTCTAACCAACTTCTAACGCACAAAATTTCACTGCCAGTCTGCAGATTCCAATTCTAACCGAGATGGCTAAGGATGTACATAAATGAGCGTTCTTCCGGAAAAATGAGTTTTATCCAAAAAGTAAGTAAAATACGTGCTTTATAAACGATGGTTAGTAACAATTGTATTAATAAATCGCTCTGGATAATTGAGATTCATAGGTTGGCTGCATTTCTGGGCCCTAACTTTATTCGCGGAGGCATCGATGAAGGCCTGATGGATTCTCGGAGTTTCACATCTGTCTATACTCTCGCTATAAAGGTGCTCTAATTTTTCGTAACTTGCGTGATGAAAGTGTCTTTAGTCAGAGATACAGCGACCAAAGTTGATTCCCTTTAAACACCTAAAAGTGAATGAATAAAAAAGCACGACTCTTTTAAGCTTGAATAAAATACTGTTTTCAGGAGATCAGAGATTATACCTCATATCGACGGTGAAACTACCAAACCACGTATCTCGGTTTGCGACGTCGCAGACTTCCTGTCATACTTTATTTTATAAATGAAAAACTACTTGACGTCCAGTCTTGAAAATTTCTGTGATTTTTCCTCTCCGTGCGGAGAAAATTCTGTGAAAATTTCAAGGAATGATATTGATTTGGTCTACTTCAAAAAAATAAAATGCGAGCGTAGATTTTTAAACACCGCAAACGAGATACGTGGTTTGGTAGTTTCACCGTCGATATGCTAATTACGAAATCAGTGACGTGTTTGTAAAGATCTTGATGATGATGGGATGTATTACTGAATTCCACACAAGTGCGTAATTAATTATAACATTAACAGTGCATGCTACGGTGCATTTTTCACTTTTTCAATTTCATAAATTTTTGTTTCAGAAATCGGACACGAGTTCTGAGGAGCGCCAGTGTGCGGGACTTGGAGAGTCGGTGGAAAAATGAAACAGGCTTTTTCGAGGAGGTTCTCCTTACCTCCCCGCATCAACAGCCGGAACTGATACCACGTGCAAGACTCCGACAAAGGACGCTTCTCTCAGAAATTTTCAGGTAGAAAATGTATTACGAATTCATGTCAAACGTCCGCTGAAATAGGACTTCAGTGAACAGCATCTCTCATAAAATAAGATAATACGATGGTTGGAACTCATGCCCAGATAAGACAGGAATATTTAGCCAATATTTAAACAATATTGTTTTGGTATTTATGCAAACATTGGGCCAATATTGGTTAAATATTGAGCCAATGTTAAAATCGTACACCATCTTTCCTTTCGGCATAAATACTGTGCCAGTACTTCAAAGGGAAAGTATTTGGATATCAATATTGAGACAATACTACACCAATATTGAATCAATTTAGGGGTTCGCAGCTAGGGGATGGTGGAAAGGGGTTAATTGTGGAAATAATTTTTGAAACCATGAAAAATAAAAGTAATGAAACCATTGGTACGTGATTTAACCGATTTTGAAGGTTAGAAATTTTCTACCTATCTTGGGAAATGAACCCGGGACGTACCTAACACTAGCCGACGACCCTACCGATTGAGCTATAGCGGACGATGCACGAAAGTGACGCAAAAACGGTATTTAACGTCGATTTGAACGGGCCGCTAAGATATTTTCAATCTACCTGGATTTGTCCGTGTATTTATTTTACTTTTTACTTTACTANAATATTTTATGGAACTGAAAAATCTAACTGCCCCCTCCTCGATATGAAATATAATACTGTCGGGACTCCTTTTAGTCAAACAAACAAAATTGCAGACCGTGGAGTTAAAGTATTTTCAATGGCGCAGCATAGCTCTTGATGCCCAAGCGGGTATGGTTTTTGACGCACCCAATATTATCCCCTCCTCCTTTCTTTTAGCACTTGACCACGAAACTATATTGTACTCTTAGTTATTGATTTTATCAATTTTGTTACGTTAAAGTGTGTTCATTCGAAGAGCGGAGGTTGAGATTTTTAACCCATTATCTAATCTACCAGCAATTGAGGGACTTGGAGAACAAGGCACATGAGTGAAGTTTTTGCTATTTCGAGAAAAACGTGTTCGAAGTTTCAAAATTCCACGGCTCCTTACGGCGAAAAGAAAGATCAAAATGACTTTATGATGCTTAAAAATTGGAATTTGGGAGCGAATTTTTCAAAGAATATGCATAAGACTAGTTTTACTTGAAATTATTAATATCTCAATTTTTTCAGAAACTGCACTTATGCGCCTTGTCCTCCAGGCCCCTCAACTATTGTGATTCATTTCAAACTAATTCTTCTTTACTTTTACTATGTAAAATTTACGTGCATTACATGATCCTTTCTTTGTAATACCGTCTATCATCGCTTATCAACTCCGAGTTCTCCTTTGTGCTCCAATTCTATCTCAACAAGTTTGCAATAGGTAACTCCTTTCCTCCGTAGGTACCTAAAATGATTAATATTTATCGACTTTTAAGTCCGGTATTTAGTGTCGCTAAAAACTCCACTATCCCTCTAAAACTGATGATACTGCTCTGACACACGATGCCGGTTGCCGACGTTGTGTGTCAATTTCGCAAACTACACAACGTGAATAAAACATAAACTAAACGCCCGGAAAAGCTCCTATTATCGGCGTGACGCTTTCCCTCCGTTGTTTCCTCATTCATAATCAGGGCGTCAACCGACGGGGGTTTCTAAATCAAATGCTGAAACTTCCCTTTTTTACTTCGTTCCAATACGCGGGAGATTATTTTCGCCATCATTTGACAACGATGTCGTCAACTCAAGCGAGACCCAGTGCCGCCGAGACTGTTATTCAGACCCAGGAATAAAGGCGCTTACCCTTTTCGCGTTTAATTTACATTTTCCCGGATGACGTGCTGACGTGCAGGAGAAAAGCAATAAACTGTTGCAAATAGTCCATAGCCTGATTTACGGGTTTCATATCGTGATAGTGAGGCGTGGTTTATGTGGCGAGGAACTTGGAACGCTATTGGGGAAGCAAGGGGTGTATTTCATAATGACGCAAAGATAGTCCCCGTTGGTCTTGCGGTCAAGTCCGAAAATGCAATAAGTTTTCCATAAACTAGCTTGCTTTTTAAGGTCCCCTCCTAGACCAACCGGTAGCAAAAAAAGGAAACATAAAAATTTTGTGACAAAAACATATACACCCAAAACCTAGAGCAGAAAAATATTTCCATAGATTGCTGAGTTGAAATCAATAAAAAGGTTTCTTTATCCGGATGAAAATGGTCACGGGATCCATCATTTTGTCATACATGGACCGCTCATTAATGGATTAGTTTCCGTTTAACTAGCGTAGATGTTTCTGGAAGGATCGGAAAACATGCCGACCGAAAACCCTATGGCGTCGAGCTCGGAGCATGATGCGTTGCGGGTTGCGGCCTTATCGTCCACAGGCGCGCGGCATCCGAGAAGTTAATTGTATCGGCGTGTCGGGCGACAACGTCAATCGAAGCCAGGAAAACCAGAAATAAAATTAATCGTAGAGGTAAACTTATAAAATGAACTCTCTGAGCTGCAGTGCAAAACTGAGGGAGAGGGTTCGGCCGCATTGATGTGATGCGTAAAAGATCTGAGTGCACTCATTCGCGTGGTCAGATCAACAGCCACCAAACTGTGGCCTTTCTTTAGTGGAATCGAGATGCAGGAATCCAAAACTTTTTTTGCCTTTGTATTTGAAAAACTTTATTTTTCTCAGGAACTTAAAAAAATGGCATTTCTTCGGCAATGCTCGTACAAGTCGCCGCATTTTGCGATAATAAGCGATTTTCATTGCGGTTTCACGAAGCACAGGCGGTTTTTACCTCGATTTCACTAAAAATACGCGATTTATACGCCAACAAACGCTGGTTTTCCCACATTATTTTGAAGACCGTTTTTGAGGAGCTCCTGCTACCATTTCTCCACCCATATCATCGTGACTCGCCGGTCGTGTGGTGAAAAAGCTTTTGCACCCCTGTCGCGTAGGGCACTCAACCCGAGAGTAAACTTTCGTCAATTTCTAAATTTGTCAGAGATTCCTACCCATGGCTTTCGTTCTTAGATCAATTAGAAGCCCCTTTCCAAGGTATTTACTTTCGCTTTAGAATCAAATTGTCCCGGGGAAGAAGATTTTATCCGAAAATTTACAAGAAACCAGCTGGGTAAAGTTCCCACTCCCAGTGACGAGAAAGCGCGAAAGTGGCTTCCTACTTCCGCCTAAGTTAACAATGATTCAGTCACATACACAAATCTGAGAGGAGAGATGAAAAGGAGCGCATGTGCGGTGATATGTTGGAAAATACATTTTTCATCCGATCACCTAATCAGATCATTTGTCACTGGGCGGCTTGATACAAGTCCGACAAAAGTTGATGCAATTAAAAAACTACCTACTGTGTTATCATTTCGGTAGTTTTGGCAGCAGAGCATCGGAGTTCGATAATAATTCATGAGCGACGCCGTTGAGACCTGAGATCCTCCCCTCCCCCTCCCCAAACTCAGGCAAAACCCTCCTCTACGAGGCAACGGAGAAATAGACTTTGTAGAAAATAGGTGCGCACCCCTTCCGTTTATTTACTTTTCTCGAAACACTTACAAGATTGGATTACCTGCGGCGACTTCGACGCGAGAACTTGCAGATGCTTATATGCTGCTGCCAGACTGCACCGCACTCTACCGACTACTGAGAGAGAACTTGACTTTCAGGACGTTCTTCACTTCAAACATTGTTGAAGTTCATTCGACATAACAACGAAGTTCTTTTTCCATCCCACCCCTTCCCAGTTTCAATTTACACTTGCGATAAGAAAAAAAAAAAAAAAAAAAAAAAAAAAAATTTGTCGCAAAACGTTGCACCCCTGCGATTCTTCGGTTATTATTTGCGATGAAAAACGTATGTATTCCCTTTAAAGCTTAAGATTGCCATTTTTCTGAAATTAAATATCACGATCGTCACCCTCTTCTTCAGCCTTGCACTGACTCATTAGGGTTTAAATTTTATACTGTGATCAAATTTTTTGGAATTCTTCGGCCTTGATTTCCCCGCAGAAAAGAATATAGACCTAGCACTATAATACGACCTTGCTACCTACTCAATGAACTATGATGTGAGCCTCATCTCTTCCAGAAAGAGGAACTACAGAGAATAACTACAACGGCCGAGTGCAGTGGCCATTGGCGGATCAAGCATATTGGCACGTTGTCTCGCCTCCATTTAAACATATGGAAATGTATCGATTCTTGGAGGGGCCAGGTGCTCCAGGAAGAATCGATTATTTAGCATAGGTTTAAATGGAGAAAATCCGGTGTTGCCAAAGTGCTGGATCCGCCTCTGGCAGTGCGTAGCGATATCTTTTCATTTAAACCTATGGAAAAGGATCGATGAACAGGGTATTCGCAACGAACACCTCAGTAATCGATTCTTTACCATAGCTTCAAATACGGAAATATCGATGGTCGATCATTCACGCCTCGCCACTGGCCTGATAACCTGATACTGACGACGCATCTCCGCATTATCGATGGCAATGCCGCACTGCAGTTCAGCGAAAATCGGACGACGCAGAGCGGATGGTTGATATTGGTACACATTGGGCGAAGTAGTTTCACGGTAAGGCAAAGTTTTCTTGCCGGTGCAGCATGGCGGGGGGNCTGGGGGGGGGGGGGAGGTGGTAATTTAATTTTGTCTCGCGAGGGTCGGCGTGCAAACAACCGGTGGAAGCTCAAAAGTGACACGGATCTGCAGAACTTCCAAATCGGGTCACCGTTGCAGAGTTGGAACATCCGATTTGTCTCCGTGGAAAATGAGAGGAGGAAGAAAAAAACAATTCACAATAGACTGGTGAGGTAAGGAGGGGGGGATCTGATATACAGGGTGTCCCGGGGTGAAACGGCCATACTGCAGCAGCGTGTATTACGGGTGAATGAGACATTTCTCTTCCACAGAGTTGTTTTCAAAAGTGGCCGCTGAGGCAGCTATAAACGGCCCCCGAATTTTTAATGAAGTTTGTAATTTTTTTCTGAATTTTGGTTATACCTAACGGTGATATCAACGGAATAATAT